AACAGGAATTTTGTTAAGTTGTGTCCTTGTAACTTAATTATAATACTCTGTTCATTTAGTTATGTTTATAGATCATGTCATCTTCATTGAGATACAAAATGATTCTTCTTCTCTTTTATTTCACAAGTTTTAGTTTTTTAGAGTAAAAATAAAATTTTCAATGGTATTAAAATAAAATAAAATAAAATATTTAAACATAATTGATTACATTAATAATTTTGAATAATAATGTCAAGTCACATACCTTTTTTATGTATTAAATAAAGTGGAATTGTACAGCTAAGTGGAAACAATGGTTAATTAATTTATTCTTAATATTTATGTATTATATTTTTTTACAAGTGAATATTGACAACATGAAAAATAACACACAAAAAACACGTCGGAGGTTAGATACGTATAGTGATAAAATCTTATCTGAAAAGAATTCCAAAAGGCACGAATTTCTCATGCATAAACCAGGGCGGTGTAAATCACTACAGTCCATTAGCATTAGACTTTCCAATTATTGAAGGCTTCATTTTTTTAATATTTCCTAGTGAATGAACATTCTAATCATTTGTTTATTTTAATTCATTATATATATATATATATATATATATATATATATATTATTCCCTACATTATATGTTGTATTCAATTTTTCTTATTCCGTTTATTTATATTATATATATAGATATTATTCCTTTCATGTTGAATACAGTTTCTCTTATTCCGTTTATTTATACTTTAATTATATATATATAATTAAAATATAAATAAATGAAATAAAAAAACTAAATATAATGAAAAGAATAATATATATATATATATATAAAATTTTTTATTTAAATAAATAAATATTAAAGAATACTTATAATTAAAATAGACTAAATAAAATATAATGTAGATATAAATTATATTTTTTCACTAATAAAAAAAATGAATATCAAAATATTTTTTATATATAACTATAGATAAATACATTATTGTTATTAATTCAAATTATTAAATATGTTATAATTTTTATTATTCTTATTATTATTATTAGACAATCTTTATATATATATATATATATTAAAATTAACATATATTTAAATTTAATGAACGAATATCATGATTATATTTAAAAGATATATTGGAATAAATGCTGATGATAAGAATGGTATTTTTTTTTATTGATAACTTATATGCACATTAGGTTATTTTTATATCTTTAATCAAAACTCAATTTGAATTGTTTGTAAAATAGGAAATCACATCTACATTTCTATTTGAATTTTAGAAATTGAACACTTTAGATCATGATAAAAAAGTATTATCTTGATTCTTTTTTAGATGAAGATATCAAGAAGTATGTAAAAAATAATCTCCATTAAAAGTTTGTCGTAGTATCAAATATAATTATGATTGACAATGCATGTAGTTATTGATATTGCATATTTTTAAATTTTCTAAATTGTTAAAATTTAATCTAAAATATAATCTATGTTAAAGAATAGATAGAATGAACTTATCACTCACGTATTAAAACAAAGTATTATAAATTCTTAAAACCTAAATAAATTATTTTGTAATTATAAATGGATTTCGTAGCCATGCATTTCTAGATACCATTTGTTCTCTTTTTTCTCACAAAATTTCAACCATATATTAAAAGAAAAGACCATTTTTTTATACTTATCTCTTTTAAATTTGTTTGTGTCAATTGATAATCAACCAGCAGCAAAAATAGAATGTTTTGTTGAGTGACTCAAACAAGCAATTATTATTATCAGTTACTTTACGTGTATGTATTGAAACAATAATTGTAGTCCTCAATTTGAAGATTATTTAAATGAAAATAACACCAGATTAATAACTTTGCACAAGTATTCTTCATGAAGGTTTGACTTTTTGTATTCAAACCATTATTTTTCAAATATTACTGACAACTGATGACAAGACACCATATTTATCCCTGGAGACAATAATTCCACAGTACAATACTTAAATTTATAAGAAAAATTCAAATTTAATCAGTAATTAGAAGCTAACCAAACAATACATGTAAGAAAAGTAATTTTAGTTCAAATTTTGCTAATTTAAAAAAGAAAACCGGAGAAGCGATTTTGTTGTGAACAAAGTCTTAATCGTTAGGCAGATTTTTCAGTAAGTATATTGTTAATAAAGTTACTAAATATTTCACACCTTATACCTTATAAAAATAATATTTATTGGTATGCATATTTTTATTTAAAGTTCAATAAAATAAACTTGTACATGACAGTAAATTTTCCAATGATGACTTTTTTGCTATCCACAAACTGTGAAGAACATATTTTAGTTTTAGCTTGCCTAAAATTACAATTATATATATTATAATGAGCCATTTTTGGCATAAATAACTGAGCCTATTGTAGTTGTTCAAGATATGGACCTTTATCTATCAACTGAGCTATCTATGCCAGTTGGTCTTAAAAATTGACATTTTTACTTTGCAGACAAGATGCTTCTAAAGTGTCATTTGAATATTTCATTTCATTCAATACCCTTTGTCATCTTAATTTCTGGATCTTGAATAATATAACCCATACAGAGAGAGTGTGTGAGAAATAAGATTCTCGCTGGTTATTTTATTCATTTAAAAACACATATAAGGTTTATTTATTTTGCCCAAACAAGGTAGAAAGAGAGAGTATGTCTTGTCATGCTTACAGACTCTCTAGATGTCGGAGAAGAGCACCCCAGATATTAATATATTATTATACTTTAAATTACAATATATATATATATATATATATATATATATATATATATATAATCATAAACTTGCATATATGTATATATTTATAATATTTTATATTTTAATTTATTAAAGTATTAATTTTAAAATAAATATTTATTTTTAAAACTATGAATGATTGAAAATAAATAAACCTGAGATAAAATTTTAAAAATAAAGATAAGAGATAATTAAGGGAGTATAAAAAAATAATTTTTTTATTATTTTATATTTTAAGTGATTAAGAAAGATTGAGGAAAGAAAATAAAATATAAATATAGATTATATTTTTTCTCTCAATAAAAAAATATTATAAAAAGAAATATCTTAATATATAAAATATCAAATATTAATAAAATTAACTTAATTATATAATTAAATATTTTTATTTTTATTTTAAGATTATAGTTTATACACATGTCTTAAATATAAAATGTTTATCATTTTATATAAACATGTACATGGTTCTGGTTGAGTGAAATTTGACAAAACTCATAGCTTAGTCCAATACAAAATTGTTGTGTGTAAGGATTGAATTTCACCTAATCATAAATAAAACTTGATACCATTTACTTATATTAGATTGAGTTATCATTTACCCTAACCCATATATATCATAATTCTTTTTTATAAAATTTAAATCTTAAATTTAAGATTATGGTTATAATTACTGTATTTAGAAATATTAATTTGATGTATTTTATCATTTAGCGACCAAAGAATTATTTACTATCTAAATGTTAAATAAATATTTAATAATGATTTCAAAAGTTGTTTAACTAACATTTTATTATAACTCCGGTTACCTATTGTCACTCAAGACTCCACTATCTTTCAGATTGATTCTTAATAGACTAAATTTTAATCTTTTATCTTTTTAATGGATTCAGTTTGATGAATTTAGTTTTTCCAATAGGTTATAATTCAATGTTGTTAACAATTTATCACAACAACGATTAAGACATATATAATATTACAGCCATAATTTTTTTACAATGAAGTTTAATAATATATATATATATATATATATATATTAAAATTAATTATAATATATATTATTATAAAATTATGAATCGAATATTTAATATTCATATAAAATAAATATATAAAATTAAATATATTTTTAATTTTATTCGACGCGATTTCATGAATATAGTTAATTATTAGTTTATATTATAAATTACTTATTATTAAAAATAATAAATTAAAATTTATTTTATTATATATATTTTTATTTCTTAAAAACACTTTTATTTTTTCATATTTTAATATTATAACTAGATATTATAAAATATTAAAATAATTAATTATTGATAATAAACAATATATGTTATTATAATAAATAAAAACAAAAAATATATTTATTTCAAGAAAAATAATAAAAATTAAAGAAAAAAATTATAAATTTTTATGCTATAAGATAAAATTGTGAACGAGAAAATATGTAAACGAAAGAGTAATAAAAAAAGATAAAAATAAGAAAGTAAAGAGAAGGTAAAAGAGAAAAAGAAATGAAAATAAAAAAAGAGAAATAATATAAATAATTTTTTTAAGAAAATAAAAAATAAAATAATTATTTTTCATAAAATAATTTTTTTTATATTTAATATTTTTTTTATAATTATGCATCTTACCCATCTGACGATAGTTAATTTCTTAAATTATTTTTTCACGCATAATGATATTGAAAAATTGTTACTGTTATTTAAAATTTCTCCCTCCTCTTCCTTCATGCATTTTAAGTATTTCACTATAAATCTATTTTATATTTAATGCATAACTCTTTTCTGATGTTTTTTGGAAAATTATATTCTTTGTAGAGAAAATAATAATAGTTTTACAATAACTTCATTAATTTTTAAAATAATTATTTAAAATTGATTAAACATGATTTTTAATTAGTTAACTATCTATATAACAATGTATAGCCGTTAAAACTCTTCCATCCAATTATATAGAAAAACACTGTAAATAACAAAAACTATTGAAAATAATTCCAATTAATTGAAATAATGTTGTTTGAGGTGATGGAGGTGTTCGGTGGTCTGGTGATGTTGTTGTTTCCTTTGCTCAGAAAAGAAGAAAAGAAATCAAGCTCATCCATCCCAAGAGGTAAAATTATTGAAAGAACACGTGATATTCTTTTAACAAATAATTCTTTAATTTGAAAAAACATTTCTGTCCACAACTCCAAGTTGGTGCAATCCAACAAATACACACAAAGTTGCTTAATTCATCACTTTCTGCAACTTCTTCTTCATTCCCATTTCCTTGCAAAAGGAACCACCCTACCATGAGCATCTCCACCACCCTTTCCTTTGAGCCTCTCTTCAGCTTCAATCACTATCTCAACAGAGAAAGGGAACCTTTCGTTCACAGTTCCAAGCCAAAGCCATTCTCTCTGAGTTACTCCTCCACCCTCACTTTCTTCAATTCCAACAACAACAACAACTGTAGCAATAGCTTTGCCTCTTGCAAACCCCACAAGTTCCACACTCCAAAGTTTGAGGTTTTTGCCACAAAGACTGATACCCTTGAGCCCCTTCAGTCTTCTGATGTCTTGTTCGATAAGACTTTCCCCATCAACCGAACTGAACTGGTCTCTCTTTTTCATCTCTCTTAATTTTGGAGTGGTGTTTGGTTTGTAGAGAGAGTTTGGGGAATACCCAGAAGGCTGTTAGAGTTTTGTTTGGTACCATTTTTTGTTCCAAGGGGAGAAGTTTGGATCAGCCTGATTGTTGTTGATATATTCTTTTTTTGGATTGTCACGTTTTGTTTTGTTTTCCCTTGTTTTCTGAGCAATCAAACAGAATGATAATACTGTAAAAGTATCAAATAGTTGCATACTTGTATTTACAAGGAAAAGGGAATTGCCAGGACTTACTTAAAAGGCCTTTTCCTTTTTGATTTGTCATTTAATAGACGTAGAGTGGTGTTTGGCATTGATGAGATTTTTGTGTTGATTGATTGTAATGGAATCTGCAGGTGGAGGGAAAGATCTTCGTAAGATTGGATCATGGGAAGGATTCGGGATATTGGGAGCTTACAGTGGGTTGCAATCTATCAGGGAAATGGATTCTTCATTGGGGAGTTTCCCGTGTGGATGATGTTGGAAGGTACAGCATGTCAAATAAGGTGTTTGAATTAGCTTTCATTTTTATTGAGATATGGGGTGATTGTGCTTTGTATTTTGCATCATGTAAGAGCTAAATCTTAATGCTAGTGATTCAATGAAGATATATGATCATGGTTTAAGCTTAATTCTGCAGTGAATGGGATCAACCTCCTCGGGATATGATACCGCCTGGATCTATTCCTATTAAGGTAGACCAGGGCTTCATGACCTCTCATATGGTCCATGTTTATTATTGCAATGCAGAAAGTTTGAATTTGAAGTGAAAATTTCAGGACTATGCAATAGAGACACCTATGCAGAAATCATTTTCATCTGCTGAAGGAGATGCTTTACATGAGGCCAAGATCGATCTTAAACCCAACAATGATGTTTCAGCGATTAATTTTGTTCTCAAGGTTTGTATTTCTTACAGCTAGCAGTTGGAGATGCTAGTTCTTAATGTTGAATATGTGGTTGACCTAAATAACCTTTTAATAAAGCTACCCTCCTCCCTTTCAGTACTTATTCTTTCTTCACATTTTGGTGCTCTTTTTTGATACATTGCAGGATGAAGAAACTGGTGCATGGTATCAACACAAAGGAAGAGATTTCAAGGTTCCTCTGGTCAATTACCTTAAGGAGGATGCTAACATAATTGGACCTAAGAAAGGTTTTAGTTTGTGGCCAGGTATTTTGAAATAGTATATATTGTGATTTTTTCTGCTTCTTAAGTTTATTTTATTGTCTCCTGAAATTGGTACTAGTTCATGGCTTTTAAAGGGTGTCAAATAAATCATAATTCTATAATAAATTATCGCCCATAGTTCCAACTGGTTCCTATTTGTGTGATGTTACCTTCAACTTTTAGAAATGGGGAATTTTTTCTTTAAGGCGGTTATATATAGTGAACAACAGTGAACAGCCATAAAAAATAGTACAACAATGAAAATAGAAAATGTTTCCCATTTGATATGTATTTCAATTTTGTATTCCACATTAGTATAGGGAAGAATAAGAATATTTTTGTCTGAAGAATGAAACTTGATGGCATCATTTAATATTTCTGCTACAAAATTAGCAATAATGAGCCAGTTACCTACTTAATTTTGAAATGATCATAATTTGAGCTTATAATGTGTTAGGGATGGTCTTTTTCTTTTCATTTTAATTGTTTTAGCTGTGTCCTCAAATCATTATTTTGGCAAGCTTGAACTGAGACACATTTCATGGTCTTTCCTCTCCTAGGGGCCTTGGGGCAGATATCTAACATTCTTCTCAAGTCAGATACAACACATGACAAAGCTCAAGATGGCAACAGTGGATCCAGAAATACAAAAGTGGAAAATAGTCAACTAGAAGGTTTCTACGTAGAACTGCCTATTACCAAGGAAGTTATTGTTGATAACTCTATCAATGTCTCCATTAGGAAGTGCTCTGAAACCGCTAATAATAATTTATATTTAGAAACAGATATACCCGGCGATATTCTCCTTCATTGGGGGGTTTGTAGGGATGATTTGAGATGGTGGGAAATTCCACCAACTCCTCATCCACCACAAACAATAGCATTTAAGGACAGAGCTTTAAGAACTAAATTTCAGGTAGACTTCTGACAAGTTGTTTTTTATTAATTATAATTTAGCTCTTATTTAGTTATAAAATACATTTCAATACAATTGCTCCTTTGTTGATGCTGTTATCTTTTTGATAGGGATGGCAAAACGAGTCTGTCCCGTTTTGGTTAGTCTCCTCTTTAGCTTGCCAAAAATGGAGTAGGTAGGGTTGGTCCAATATAGTCAAGACGGGTTATAGATCCCAGCCCACCCGGCCAAATGTCAATGGATTAATTCATCAATAATTTTGTTTATATAAATTTTTTTTATATGTATTTTTTTTTAAAATATACCTTTAAATTATATAAATAATTTTTAAATTTTTATTTATTAATTAATATTTTTATTAGATAAATTGAAAAAATTACTATATTTTATGTGTTAAAATAATTAATTATAATCAATAATTTAAACATAATTTATTAATTTTTATAACTTAAATTATAATATTATAGTATATTTACATATTTAAAAAATATGACAAAAAAATATAATATTTTTAATTATAATCTTTTTTTATTTTAATTTTAAAATATAAATATTTTTAAAGCGAGCAAGCTTACCCACCCGTCAGGTTGACAAGCCAAAGCGGGCTGACAAGACTAAAACTATTGTCCTGCTATTTTGAGATAGCGGCTCGTCTGGACCTAACTCGCTTTGCCACCATCCCTACTTTTTGACATATTCAAGGAAAATGTTTCTATACTCAAATAATTCAACAGGATTCTAAACTTGATTTTCCCATCATTTTTAAAATTTTAGTAAATAAATTACATAATGTGATCTGTTCTTATTGGAGTAACAATATTAAGACTGTATGCTGTTCTTATTTGACTAACAAAATTAATCTTGTGTTCGTGTCCTACCTTTAGTTATGTTGGATGTTTTCGGATAGTCAACCTATGTTCTATTTTTCTTTAAGTTGTCTTAACTAGTAAGTTATTGTTTTAACTATTTAATCCTCTTAATGTTCAAAGTTTAATATTTAAATAATTCCAGAACCCAGTGCATTTTACCCTCCTCCACGCTCTTGTATTAAACTGTAGTTCTTCTACTAGATACTGATGTAAGTTTACATGCGATGGTGAATATATCTGGATTATGATTGAAAAGATTGGATACATGATATTCATGCAGCCTTTTATTCTAAAGTTTTATTTTGGTTATTCCCTTTCCCCTTTTTTTCATCTCTTTCTTTGAAAACTTGGAAATTTGGTTTATGTCAGCCAGAATGTGATATTGTAGTTCCATGATATTCTTTTCGTTTTATGATATATTTACTTGTCCATCTTCTTCTGCAGTCAAGAGACAACAGAGTTGGAAGTTCAGTACAACTCTCTTTGGGAGAAGAATTTTCTGGATTTCTTTTTGTTTTTAAGCTAAATGACGGTACTTGGATAAATGACATGGGAGATGACTTTTATATCCCCCTCCCAAGATCTAGTAGCTCAATTGTTGGCAACAGGGATGACCAATCGGAAGGTGTGCAGTGGGAAGTGACTGAAGCCACTAAAGAGGCAGGTCAAGAGGAATCTATATCTGCATTTACTGATGAAATAATCAATGAAATAAGGCATTTGGTTACAGATATTTCCTCTGAGAAGAATCGAAAGACAAAATCCAAAGAAGCCCAAGAAAGCATTCTTCAAGAAATTGAAAAGCTAGCTGCTGAGGCCTACAGCATCTTCAGAAGTTCAGTTCCAACTTTCTCAGAGGAAACTATTGTGGAATCTGAAGCTGCTATTGAATCCAAGACAGTAATATTGCCTGAACTGCCTCCAAAAATATCCTCTGGAACGGGCACAGGCTATGAAATACTATGCCAAGGGTTTAATTGGGAATCCCATAAATCTGGAAGATGGTATATGGAGCTTAAAGAGAAAGCTGAAGAACTGGCATCATTTGGCTTTACTGTGATATGGTTACCACCACCGACAGAGTCTGTTTCTCCTGAAGGATATATGCCAAAGGATTTATATAATTTAAATTCTAGGTACTTGATTAAAATCCCTTTAAAACACAAACTGTTTTATAGGTTTAGATGCCTGTTATCTATAAATATTTATACAGAGAGCCCACTGTTAGGCATACTGTTACTGATTGACTCAAGTAGAAGGGAACATTCTTTTATATTCTGATTTATACATTGCATAAAAAAAAAGATGTCTCATGATGTAAAATAATTGTACATCTCTGTGAAAAGAAACTTCGATATGAACTGTTCTATTTAATGTTTCAGATATGGAACTATTGATCAACTGAAGGATGTGGTGAAAAGTTTTCATGAAGTTGGAATCAAAGTGCTCGGAGATGTTGTTTTAAATCACCGCTGTGCTCACTTTAAGAATCAGAATGGTATTTGGAACCTATTTGGGGGTCGTCTCAACTGGGATGAGCGTGCAATTGTAGCTGATGATCCCCATTTTCAGGTTAGTGATTTTGGATATTTACTTTCTTTACTCATTACTCAGTACTGTTAATCATCCTAAAAGAATTGGATAGGTCTTCTATGTTTTTGACTCTTCTCTATATTCTTAGCAACTCAACTAATTTCTTTTGTGGGTTGTAAATTTCTATAGCAAGATTGAGAACAATAATAATTGATATCAAAGCTCATGACATGCTTTCAGGATAGAAGATATATTGTGTTCTCTGCTTACCATTTCCCAAGAAGTTCTGTACATTTGAAAATTATTGATTGAAGTGAAATAGTTCTTTTTCCCCCTCTAATTATATAAGTATATCATTGTATTGTTGTTTCCAAATTACGGTGATTATCTTATATTCATTTGTGATTGTTTGCAATTTAATTTCTGTTGAGAAGAGAGAAACTTATAGGGAAGAGAGGGCATAATTGGAGAGGGCATAATTAAGCATAGCATAATTACAAAATATTCAATTTCCCTAGTTTAGGCTAATAACACAAATATAAAATCAATCTAATTGATCGTAATATCATAGCTATAAAATTCTATTATATTTAAAGGATTCAAACAATTTCACTAATTGATGAAAAAATAACTTTATATTCATAAGACTAGATTAGAATAATCATCAATCATTTGTGAAGTGGACAATCTTGCTAAAATGAATGGTTTATCTATATACGTGTATGGAATTGCTTCAACCTTACGTTGATTAATTTTGCGAGAGGAGGAGACATTTGCGAATAGTTTATTTCATAGTTGTATTCTTACAAATATGAGACTCGTAAGTCATTTCTAGATTGTGATGGGTTTTGATGGTTCTATCAACAACCCCGGTAATCATCTTTGATGGTTCTAGTTTTTTTTTTTACGTAGAATTAATAGAATTAGTTGTTTTTGAAGAATTAATAAATTAGTTTAATTACTAAATCATATGAAGCAAAGACTCATGTGCATCATGTGAAGTATAAAGCACCGATACTTTAATTTGCTTCATGTATCCGTATTTGATACATATCGTGTCAGATACTTCACCCATACTTCATTGATACGTATAAATGAAGTATCCAAACCTATGAAGCATCAATATTTTTATTTGTTTTACAAATAGTACTCTTAAGTTTACCTATGAGTATGTCAGTTAAATGTTAAAACTTTTAAATCATTTATATTCAATAAAGTTTAAGAAACATATATGTATCTATAAAATAGAAACATATAAATATTAATTTTCATAAATGAAAGAAAAAATTGTTATTATAAAATATTTTAAGAAATTTACGAGAATGATAGTCTTATTCCTATATGAAAATAACAGAAAATATTTAATAATGATAATTATTTATATTTTTTATTTCCACAATATTTAAGAAATGTGATTTAAAATTTAGATTTGGATGATTATAGTTATATGGATATTATGTTTCATGATTTTTTTTTTACATTTTTAAATTCATATGTTATATGAATTGTATCCTACTTTTATTTTTTTTAGAATTAACATATCCTCGTATTGTATACGAATTGTATTTGATACTCGCATCATACCCATGCATTATAAAAGCTAATCTTCATGCATGCCGCATTTTTTAGTTGAAAACCCTTTGAATGTGCCATGTATTTCATGATAAACAAATTTAGACAACAATGAAGTATTTGGAAGTTTTTTTTATTGTTAGTGTATAGTACAACAATGCGGTTATCTTTCTGGGTGTGATATGCATGATATACAATCTTTCTGCCATGCAGGGGAGGGGCAACAAGAGTAGTGGAGACAATTTTCATGCTGCTCCAAACATTGATCACTCGCAGGAATTTGTGAGAAAGGATCTTAAAGAATGGTTATTGTGGCTGAGGTTTGTATTCAAGATCCTAATTTTCATAATGTTTAGTCAGATGATAATATATCCAGTCAGTTTGCTACTTAATACATTCTTAGCTAAATTTCTAAAACAGCTATGCTGGAGATCTAACATGAAACGTACTATTAAACTGTCTTCTAGATTTTTTTATAATCTTTTCTGCTGGAAGCTGTTTCCGGAATCCAGAGTGGCAGAATGTGTCTTAACCAATAACAAAATGTTCTAATTCATGTAAGAGTTCATATCAAGAATAACCCTACAAATCGCTACTATAATGATATCTTCATAAAATAGTAAACAAGTAAATAACATCTATATTACATTATATTACCGTAATTGTAATATAAACTAAAATCCTGGTTCATTGGCGAAACTTCAAAACAATAGTAACATAATTTATTTATATAGATACATGCAAAAGTAGCTCCCACAAAGCTATCCCACTGAACTATCCCTACTGTTCAGTAGTCGTATCTCCACTTCTCAACTTTTGATCTACTCTCACATAAAAGTGACCATCGCAGTCTCATCCACATGGAAGAATAAGAGTAAGTATTAAATCATTCGATATAATAAAACATATATAGAAGTAATAATTACATATTATCATCAATTACAAATCATCAATACACTAAGACGTCTTCCGAAAGTCTACTCTAATTATGTCCGAACTCGTAGGCTATCATCTCGTGGGCACATTGTGATCGGCACCCGTAGTACTATTCCGACCATCCTCCACACGAGTAGGATTACTGGCGTCCTTCATCACTCATACTGGAGTACCCCTCCGAGCGCGCCACCAGTTATCCTCCCATCGACTTCTCACCACTTGATCTTGTAGTCTACCTGACCCGACCAATCAGTGAAGTCTGGGACCTCATTTAGAATCCTCCGACATAGTTATTACACTAATGTACTCTGTATCACCCCGGGTACCATTCATACACAACAAAAATCATTCACATCTGCCGGATTCTGGACCACCTGTTCTCACGACTCATTCGGGTAAATAATAGTATTTGACTGATTCTGGGCACCAACCCTCCGGCTCAGTCTAGCCAATACATATCATCTCATGATTGATTCTGGGCATCAACTCTTAGACTCGGCTTGACCCACACACGTCACAACACACTGCTGAATCCTTCTAATTTCATTCTATATTTTAATTATTTTTCTTAACATACCTTTACTTTATTTCTAAAATTCCAATTATACCTTTAAATATTTTCTATTATTCCTTTTTCATTCCGAAGTTATTAAATTACTATTTTGCCCTTAATCTTTTCTTAAAATTCCATGTATGTCCCTAAATGACTATTTTACCCTTGGACATTTTGAAAATTCCTTCCATATCCCGAAAATGACTATTTTACCCTTGAACATTTTCGAAAATTCCTTCCATGTCCCGAAAATGAATATTTTACCCTTGGACATTTTCGAAAATTCCTTCCATGTCCCGAAAATGACTATTTTACCCTTGGACATTTTCGAAAATTCCTTCCATTTCCCGAAAATGACTATTTTACCTTGGACATTTTTGAAAATTCCATTTATGTTCCTAGGATGTTAAATGAGTATTTTATCCTTGATTTTTTTTTTAAATCCCCAGCATATCCCTTTCTTCTTCCTCCACCCTGTAGCCATGCCAAATTCTTCGAGATTTCTAATTTCCAAGTTTCAGGCAACCAAACTAGTTCCAAATCGAAATTAAACATGAAATATGTTCAATTTAAGTCAAAAACAACAATTTTTTTTCATATAATCCATCCTTAATTTCAAGAATTTCAAAACTTTCAAACCAGGAAAACCAGGAACAGTTATCAAAATCAAAAATTCTTCAAAATCAGACATTCAAATAATTTATATTTCTACTCCTATTCCTTATTCACAGAGTACCCAGCAATTCAGTTTCATATATTGAATGAATTAAACTTTCCCTTACTTGGTGTGGTATTTCTACCGAAACTTTCCTACTTAATCAAAGTTCTCTTCCGTTTCACTGCATTCTCGCACGAGTAGAGTCTCGTTGCTTGAAATTTAAACAAAAGAAGAAGGATGAGAGGGAGAACTACTTGCTGAAATTTCTTGCTTCCTTCCCCCTTTCTCGTACGTACATATATAAAAGAAAAATTTTATTGTACATGAGAAAAACTTCATTACGAAGTTTTCTTGCACAATAATATTATTATAATATATAATAATAAAACATCACGTCACAATATGGTCTTTGACATCATGATATAATGAGAATTTTGACTAATATTATGAGAGGATGCTTGAACATGTTTGACGTATAGCAAACAGAGGTCTAAGTTGTTTTATCAACATCACACTCTTATGGTGTTTTAATTTATCTCTGGCATCCCACGACAATGAAGGACTCCGGTCCTTATTTTGTATTCAAGCTGTGAAATCAAGGCTTATATGTATCTTAACTTCTTGACTTTACGCTTTGACATTTCCTCACAGACTCAATAATTTCATGGACTCAAATACATTTCACCTTCCTAACAAACCTCATAAGAAAAGAATTGATAGTTATTATTTTATAAAGTTAGCATCGTCTCTATACAAAAAATCCCAGATGAAGAATTATTTTTTTCAAAGAAACATATATTCATCTTTTCGAAACAACTTGCTATCTATTATGTATGTCTGTGTCTGTCTTATATGTTGGACATTATTAGTCATGCCAATGTGTGTCCCAGTGTCTAATAGTGCACTGCTTATGCATTTCGTGAATATCAGCCAAATTCGTATCAAATAGCAGCTAAATCTCAAAGGATATCCAAGTATTCCTTATTCATAACTTAACCTGCCATTTTATGGCCAAAACCCAATTTTACTCCGCTAACCCCTTTTCTGGCTTCTGGCTAAGCTGAACTCCACCATATTTAGCTGTTGAAAAAATAAAGTAGCAGGACCTTTGCTGTTACTTATCTACAACATATACAATCCAAGACATTGTAGTGGTTTACATAATTCATAGTTCCTTATATTCCACTCTATTTTTGTCACACCCATCTTGGTCTTTCCTCCTATCATCTGCCTATTTTTCTTTTAAGTTTCCAAGGTTCTCATTTATCTCATTGTTAATTATAGCTGAGGTTAATGGTGAAAGTATTTTATGACTTTTTGATTATTAGTTATCAATCTTAAGAAAAGATTTTTAATTTTGAATATCTTTTTAACCATTTATATGTGTATAGTATAATTATAAATTATAAATTATAAATTACTTAGCTCGTATCTATAATGTTCAATGTAATGGCCATCTCGCCAACCACTATAGCAGTTTTCAGCCAGGCCTCAATGTACCACAACTTAGGTTTGGATTGATAACTAGGCTTTTTATGTTGCAGTCCGTCCATGAAACTCAGTTGATTCTTTCCTTTCATCCAAATTTATTGCTTTTTTTAGTAAATTGTTAGAAAATTTCTTATAATACTGTTCAAGAGTATTTAACGTCTAATAGATGATCGCTTAGGAGTGGTTTGCGTATTTCATGATTTTAAATCTAATTTAATTGGATATAGGAGTCTAGTATATGAATATAATTGAGGGTAAGTACATTATGTTTTTTATCCTTCTAGTAAATGTTAGTGAATATGATTCATTGTCCCTTTTATTTCCTCATTCTCTACCTTAATCCATATTCCCTCCCCCTGTTGACAAACAAGTATCTAAATAAAACACTCTGTATATTATCACTTATGTTTTTGCAATGAGTGATACATGTTCAATTTATAGGTCTTTGGATATAGCCTCTCAACTACATGTATTTAATGCAACTACTACCTTTCAACTACATATATTCAATACAACCACTATCTCTCAACTACATACATTCAATATAACTACTACCTCTCAACTACTACCTCTATAACAACTACCTTTCAACCACATGCATTTAAGGTTTACCTAACAAAATCCCCCCATAAACTTAAATGTTTTTTTTGTCCTTCATTCCAAGCATCTTCTTGTTGTTCTCGAATATAGTGGTTGACAGTGGCTTCGTGAACATATCTGCAGCTTGTGCTCGGGTTCCAACGTGCTCTAACTCCACATTTCCTTCTTTCACTTGTTCTCGGATGAAGTGAAACCGAACATCAATATGCTTGCTTCTCTCATGATTGACCGGGTTCTTTGCCAATTCAATGGCCGACTTGTTATCAACTCGAATCACAGTTCCTTTTTCTTGCTTCAACTCCAGCTTGCTTAGAAGGTTTCTAAGCCAAACTGCATGACAGACACTCCAGGATGCTGCAACGTACTCGGCTTCACAAGTTGACGACGTTACAATGGGCTGCTTTTTTGAAAGTCAGGTGAATGCTGTGTTTCCCATGAAAAATACATATCCAGACGTGCTTTTCCGGTCATCAACATCTCCACACCAGTCACTATCCGAGTAGCCTACTAGTCGATAATCATCTGTCCTAGTATACATTAGGCCAAGTGACACTGTTTCTCTCACATACCTTAGAATTCTCTTTAGTGCCTTCCAATGCGTATACCTTGACTCCTCCATATATCGACTTGCTATTCCAACACTTAGCATTAAATCTGGTTTGGTATTTGTAAGATACCTAAGACTTCCAATCAGACTTCGGTATTTGCTTGCATCAACTCGGTCTCCATCTGCATACTTAGAAAGTTTTGTACCAGGTTCCATAGGGGTGGAAACTGGGTTGCAGCTTGTCATCTTAAACTTCTTCAAGACCTCCTCAGCATACCTTTCCTGCGACACAAAGATGCCATCCTTTCCCTGAACAACTTCTAAGCCAAGAAAATACTTCATAAGACCCAAGTCAGTCATCTCAAACTCCTTCTTCATCACTTCTTTAAACTCTTCAATTAGCTCGGCATTATTCCGCATGAAGATAAGGTCATCAACATATAGGGCAACAAACATCACATCTTCTCCTTTCTTCTTTATGTATAGAGCATGTTCATAAGGACACTGCTCATATCCATTCCTTTTGAAGTAAGTGTCAATTCTTTCATTCCATGCTCGTGGAGCTTGTTTCAAGCCATAAAGTGCCTTTTTCAATCTCACCACTTTCTTCTCTTCTCCTCTTCGCATGTATCCGAGTGGCTGTTCAACATATACTTCCTCCTCCAAGATTCCATTCGTAAATGCCGACTTCACGTCCATCTCGCAAGATTGTCCATCCGTGTTGAGTCGCTAAGGAAATCGGCAACCTAATTGTTTCCATTCTCGTCACTGGGGCGAATACTTCGTCATAGTCTATTCCTTCTTTCTGCTTGTACCCCTTCACTACGAGTCGAGCTTTATACCGCTCAACTTCTCCTTCAGCATTTGTCTTCTTCTTGTACACCCACTTTACGCCGATAGGCCGTGCTCCTTTGGGTAAATCAGTCAGCTCCCATGTGTTGTTGCGTTCTATTGCTCCGATCTCCTTGTCCATTGCCTTTCTCCACCTTTTCTCCTACACGGCCTCTTCAAAACTTAAGTCTTCTGAATCTGCCAAGAGACATACAACATGCACTTCGTCAGTGGAGTTGTATATATCTTGTAAACTTCGCGCTCTGGGCTGTAGAGGTTCATCTTCTTCATCAGAAGTCTCATGATCTCTCACAGTATGTGGTGTATCAACTTCCGAGCTTCTACTTCCTATGGACTCCTTCTCCGGGTTGTTCCAACTCCACTCGCTTTCTTCATCAATTTGAACATCTCGGCTCATGATGACCTTCTTAGTTATTGGGTTAAACAATCTGTACGCCTTGGTTTTTTCATCATACCCAATAAACACGTACTTTTTGCTTCTATCTTCGAGCTTGGTCCTCTGTTGAGCTGGAACATGACCATAAGCTATGCTACCGAACACTTTAAGGTGAGACACACTCGGTTTTCTTCCGTTCCAGACTTCTTGCGGTGTCTTCTCGTTCAACTTAGCATGTGGACATCTATTTTGCACATAGATGGCACATTGCACTGCTTCTGCCCAGAACTCCTTTAGCACGTTTTTGCTTCTCAACATTGTTCGAACCATGTCAAGAATGGTTCGATTCTTCCTCTCGGCAACTCCGTTTTGTTGGGGTGAGTATGGTGCTGTCAGAAATCTCCTTATCCCTTACTCCTCGCAATACTTCATGAGTTCGGATGAAATGAACTCGCCTTCTCGATCAGACCTAACAGATTTGATAGGCATGTCAGTCTCTTTCTCAACAATTGCTTTAAATCTTTTGAACACCTCAAACACCTCGGATTTCTCTTTCAAAAAATATACCCAGGTTTTTCTTGAAAAATCATCTATAAAAGAAATGAAATACCTTTTCCTACTGAAGGACTCAGGGGTAACCGGTCCACAAAGATCTGTGTGAATCAATCCGAGTTGTTCCTTTGCACGGTACTCGGTCGTCCTCAGAAATGAGGTCCTCGGATGCTTCCCAAGCACACACTCTTCACAAATTATTTTTTCAAATTCCATAGACGGGAGTCCTCGCACCATCTCTTTCTTTACCAACTCGGTCAGCCCGCCAAAATGCAAGTGGCCAAACCGAAAGTGCCACATCATTGCTTCATCCTTCATGTCAAGTTTCAAGCACCTCTCTTGGACTATCTTCAAGTTCAACTTGTACATTTTGTTCTTCTTCATTTCTACTCGGGCAATCAAACGATCTGACTTGTCCTTTAGGTATAGTACTCGGTCTTTCATCAGAACCGAGTAGCCTTTCTCCATCAGCTGACCCATGCTCAATATGTTGCTTTTGAGATCGGGTACATAGTACACGTCTCTGATTTCTCCAATTTGGCTATTCTTCTGTAGGTACCAGATTGTACCTCTGTCTTTTACCGCCACCTTTGATGCATCTCCAAATGATACGTGTCCAGCCTCAACTTTAGTGAGCTCCTTGAAAAAGTTCTTGTCCCCGCACATGTGGTTACTTGCTCCTGTATCAAGATACCAAACCGAGTTGTCAGAACAGCTCGGACTTAGCTCGACATCCGAACTTCTCGACATCATCAATACTTCTTCTTCCTCAGTGTCCTCAGTGAGGAGGTTTGTCTCCTTTTTCCTCTCAGATCGGCGGTCCTTTGCGAAATGTCCAACCTTCCCACAATTATAACATTTGATATCTGAATAGCAGTCGTTAGCAAAATGACCGTACTTCCCACATTTGAAGCACTCAACTCCGGAATTGCTTGACTGACCACCTCGGCCTCTACCGTCACGACCTCTACCTTGTCTTCGGCCACGCCAATTTTGTTGACTGACCGGCTCCTTGCCTCTTTCATATTCTCCTCTGCCTCTACCACCTCGGCCTTAAGTGTTCTGAGCATAAGAAACCTTCTTCTCCTTTAAGGTTGCCTTTGCTTGGAGTGCTTGATCAAGGGACTCCTCTTTCTTCTTCTTTCTCCGCTGCTCATGCGCTTCAAGCGACCCGGCAAGCTCTTCCACCGAGAGCAGTGACAAGTCCTTAGACTCTTCTATTGCACAAACGATATTCTCAAAGTCGTCAGTTAACGACCTTAAGATTTTCTCCACCACTCGGCAAGTGGGCAGCATCTCTCCATTTCTTCCGAGTTGATTTACCACGGTCTCAACACGGGAGATGTACTCAGCAACCCCTTCGACCTCTTTCATCCTCATGCTTTCAAGCTCGCCTGTAAGAGTTTGAAGCCTGACTTGCTTCACGCGATTATCCCCTTTATATGCCTTCTCCAGAATATCCCACGCTTCTTTTGAAGATTTAGCATTTGCTATCTTCTCAAAGCCGGACTCATCAACAGCTCGGTACAGTACGTACAAAGCCGTTTTGTCCTTTACTCGTGTTGCTCTCAATGCAGCAAGCTGAGCAATCGTCTGCTCTTCAATATTCTCTGGTTCTTGGTGCCCATTTTCGACCACATCCCATACTTCTTGGGAACCAAGGAGAGCCTTCATTTGCAGGTTCCAGTTATCATAGTTTACGCCTTTTGATAACTTTGGCAGGGACATGCTGTTAGCTAAGTTGGTCATCTCGAACAAACTCCCTAACTCTCAAACACTCTCTCTAACGCACTCAGACACTTAGGCTCTCAAGCTCTGATGCCAATTTGTTGACAAACAAGTATCTAAATAAAACACTCTGTATATTATCACTTGATGTTTTTGCAATGAGTGATACATGTTCAATTTATAGGCCTTTGGATATGGCCTCTCAACTACATGTATTTAATGCAACTACTACCTTTCAACTACATATATTCAATACAACCACTATCTCTCAACTACATACATTCAATATAACTACTACCTCTCAACTACTACCTCTATAACCACTACCTTTCAACCACATGCATTTAAGGTTTACCTAACACCCCCCTCCCCTTGTTTCTGTTGCTTTGAAGTATTACAAGAATTGTATTTATTTTTTTTTTATTTTTTTTTTTAGGGAAGAAATTGGGTACGATGGGTGGAGGCTTGACTTTGTCAGAGGATTTTGGGGTGGTTATGTAAAGGACTACCTGGAAGCAAGTGAACCATACTTTGCGGTAGGAGAGTACTGGGATTCTCTTAGTTATACGTATGGTGAAATGGACCATAATCAAGATGCACATAGGCAGAGGATCGTTGACTGGATCAATGCTACTGGTGGTACTGCTGGTGCATTTGATGTTACAACGAAAGGGATTCTTCACTCTGTAAGCGCTCAAGTTGATTGTTTCAACTTTCTGCTACATTTATTTTAATTATTTCGTGCATCAAATTTTCTGGATCTACAGGACAGAGTTCTTGGAGTGCTTGAAAATTTACGAAGTCAGTTATCTGTTTCGAAATACTACTAATTTCAATGTCTTATTGGAATTTGTTTGAAATCTTTTTGTGCAAAGGCAGTAAACTACTATTTTTCTTTAGCTTCTTTTTTGTTTAAAATTATTGTAATTGATAGTGAAAGAATCTCATTGCTAATAATCTGCTTGCTGCCATAGTGAGATTTAAAGGATGTTCATATGTGAGAGAATTATATTCTGACTTGATTATATGTATTGGTCTTGTAAATATAAATAATTAACATAATTTTTTTATAAAGCTCTTTGGCTAATAACTAAGAACATCAGATATCTTCTTAATTTGGAATTATATGTGGCTGTTCTGATGCAAACAACTCTTCCTTAGGCTTTTGAAGTTTGAACCGAGACTCACTGTATCTCTTGTAAGGATGCTTCAAAAGATGAGCAGAAAAGTCCATGTATATTGGTGATAATTTATTTAATCTTGGTGATAATTTGTTTAAATTCTTCTCCATATAGGCTTTGGAAAGATGTGAATACTGGCGCTTGTCAGATCAGAAGGGAAAGCCCCCTGGTGTGCTTGGATGGTGGCCATCTCGTGCTGTTACTTTTATAGAAAATCATGACACTGGTTCTACCCAGGTTTAAACTTCCCCTTTTCAAAAGTATTTTGGTACTGTCAGATTCTTTCAAGGTTAAATTTTGATAGAAATAATTCTTTATCATTGACTGCATCCATTATTACGAATGGCTCCACTAGTAAAATTGAACATTTCAAGTTAGGCATTTCCCTCTTAATCTAATCTTTTCATATATATATATATATATATATATATATATATATATATATATATATATATATATATATTTACACACACACACTATCATAAAGTTTCCTGCATATTTTCTTTTATGAAGGGTCATTGGAGATTTCCCAGTGGAAAAGAAATGCAAGGATATGCTTACACCCTTACTCACCCAGGAACTCCGTCAGTGTTCTTTGACCATCTTTTTTCTCACTATAAGACAGAAATATCGACACTTCTATCTATCAGGAGGCGGAACAAGATCCACTGCAGGAGTACAGTAAGCATTAGAATAGTCTCTTATGTGCTGCATACTATTGTTTAAGTGAATATTTTCTGCGGGGTTGACGAGGAACTTTTTCTTTGCATGACGAAGTCATAGAAACTCAAAATATATCACCTGCATTATGTACTGACAGCTACTGCATTGAAATTAACAGATAGCAGAAACTTGGGCAAAGTAATGCTTTATTCTTTCAAACTGGAAAAGGAAAATATAGAATGACAATAATTTCTATGGTGTTAGCTGTTTCAAAACCTCAATTTCTAAATAATTCCAGGAGAACCCCTTCGATAATTCCTTGCTTTGGTCCTAACTTTTCCCACATACTCGCCACTTAGCTAGTTTGTTGCTGCCCATTGCACACGACTTTCTCACAGTATTCTCACTATCTGAATTTTCTATTCACTTTTCAAGCTTGCTCCTCCTAAATCACTTCCTAATTTACACTTTATACAGTGCTGGAGTCCTATCTCAAAGCATGCTTTGGCTATCAACTTATGCTACAAGATTTAACTAATTAGTCATCATAATATAGATGACAATTGCAATAATGTTGGACAAGTAAATGAAAATCTCTGCTTGCAATATTAATTTAGAATGCATCTACGCTTTCGCTGCAACAACGTCTTTCTACTGAGAGTTAAAACTTGAAAAGTATGATATTTGTTTAATAAGGAACCCACATGCATCCTTACATACTATTATCTTAATCAAATGTCTGAAGATGTTCTTTAGATAACGCAGAAATATTGACATTACTGGAACACTAACCTTTCCAGCTTTGATAATTCCTTTTGTTTAAGGTTAAAATTTGCAAGGCAGAAAGGGATGTTTATGCAGCTTTGGTAGATGAAAAAGTTGCTATGAAGATTGGACCTGGTCATTTTGAACCACCTAGTGGATCCCAAAATTGGTCCTCAGCTTTGGAGGGAAGAGAGTATAAGATTTGGGAGGCATCATAATACAATTGTTTTTATATTCCTTTTGAAAATCATCATCACCAATTTGTATATGTTTCTTAGGAGGCAAGTATGAAGACAGAAGAATAGATGATGTTATGACAAAGCACAATTGAAAGTGAGTTGAAATGTGTAACTATTACTGAGTGTATATATATGCTGCATAGAAGCAATACTATAGAGAAGGTTGCGGAGGGTTCATTTCAGCCCAGTGCTGACTACTCTGATATTAGAAAGCCTTCATATTACTATATTTATACACAGTGTATAATATTTAAATATTTAGTATTCACAATAATGTATAAAAACTGCCACATATACCACACAATTCTTTTGTTTCAGTTTATTTTTTACTATTACATAATTTTTGTTTGCTGTTTACTGTAGTTTGTATCGTCAAAAGTTGAAACATTTTTCAAGGAAAATGATCTTTTGGTGGTGTTGTATCAATTTGTATTTTGGGATACATTGATTTCTATTAGTAAAAGATAAAAAATAACGTTAAACATGTAAAATAACATTCAAAAGCTTCTAAGACAATCTTTTATATATATATATATATATATATATATATATATATATATATATATATATATATATATATATATATATATATATATATATATATATATATTTTGAAAGTATACTGCAAGAAAATTACTAAATAATGATTGAAAATTCAGTAACTAAATGATTAAAATTGATCCCTAACTAAAACAGTGACTAACTGGATTATTTTCTTTGGCACTGATTTTAATGATTAAATCAATGACTGAATTAGTAACATTGAAAATTTGGTCATTAAATGATTAAAATCAGTCCTTAACTAAAACAGTGACCAACTGGACTATTTTCTTGGTCATTGATTTTAATGACCAAATCAGTGATTAAATTAATGATCAATTTAGTGACCGAATCAATAACCAAATCAATAACTAAACCAATAACCGAATTAATGACCAATTTAATAATTAATTTTAAAATAAAATATCACTATAATTAATGACCAATTTAATAATTAATTTTAAAATAAAATATCACTATATTTAGTCATTAAAATTTTTCTTTTTTAATAAACCTGTTATTATATTATATTATATTATATTAATATATATATATATATATATATATATATATATATATATATATATATATATTTGGTATGAATAGATCACACCAAAATTAATTAAATATTATTAAAATTAGACCAATGTCCACATGATAATTAAACTTTTATATATTAAAAATTCAAAATAAACATAAACAATATATTAAAATAAAATTACATAAATACAACAAATATTCAATTTATATTTTAAAAGATTAAAAATCTATCTTCTCCCGTATATTGTTTGGTCAAATTGCTTGTGCACAATAAAATTGACAATAAAATCAATTTTTCTTCTCCGTCTTCACTATATCACATTATCTTTTTTTTATTCCTGAAAACTCAAATATGGTTAATACAACATTCAACAAAAAAGAATAAATAAATGCATATCTTAGTAAAACTATAAAAACTATTTTAATTATATATTAGGCTAACAATAACTAGTGCCCATGAGAGCATAACTTTGTTAAAATTACAATATTTTATAATTCTCTGCTATTAATTATTTTCTTTTTAAAATCTACTTATTTCATTATTCCAACTTTATATTTAAAGATATTAATTATATATATACTCAATTCATAACATAATAAACTATTTTTTTAACACGTTCTCTCTAAACCGTAAATTTATCTCATCATATATTAAGTAAATTAAGTTAATGTGAACAAGTGTCATTTTTACAATAATCTATTACTTCCTCTCTGTTTCCTCAAACATGCTTATCTCCTAAGTATGGTACATAACCCATCATCTAAAAATCCCTAGACAACTTATTATAATAGTAAAATACTCATGCATATCTGCCTCACAAGTTGCTCACACATTGCAACTTGAATTCATATCAAAACAGGTCATGCTAACACAGTTGTGCTCACTCTCAATGTGAATACAACAAGCTTCTTATTTTTTTTGTCAAGATTGATTTTAGTTTTGGTTCTCATAGTTGACTTCAACCCTTTACATGGAACACTATGCTAGAAGGAAGGACAAAATTAACCGATTATAAAAATAAGAGAAACAAAAATCATTATTTATAAAGTATAGAACTAAAACTAATACTAACCAAAATCTAAAGGACCTAAAACACAATTTATTCTTTCAAAAATATCACCAGAAAAATCACCAATCTATTTCATAAGCACTAAAGGAGAGTATCTTCCTTTCAAAAATGACTCAAACTAGAGATTGAAGAAAGCAAGAACGAAGGGGCATACTAGATATTTGAAACTCACCAAATTCAGAACACCCAGGGGTTCTTTCAGAGTGAAATTTAGCTCTTCATTTCAAACAAGATTCAAGAAGCTATTAATTACCTTTGTCTTTGCAATCTAGTACAGTTCAGAAGCATTTCGAGGTTAAATAAGTTGCACAAAGTTAATGTCAAGAGAAAAAAGCTAAAAATGAAATTGACATGTCAATCTTATTTACCTGGTTCCCTAGTTTGAGCACAACATAAGGATCACTGGTCTTGAAATCCTGGATCACCAACCTTTTCCCTTGCACAACAATGATTTTTAGCACCCCCAATTGTTCAGTCATTTTATTATACTCCTACGAACAAGTTAAATCATTAATAAAAAAGGTCCATACCATAGTATTATCCACCATTCATGTAGGAGACAAACACACGAAAAACAAAGTAAGAAAGACAAGTGTTTGAGATAAGGTGGAAAACACTTCCTTTTACAAAAAAAATTGCAAAACCCCAAGACAAAAAACCAAAACATGAAGCCTCATTTTTCTTTTAACTCAAATATATATAAGAAAAAGTTAAAAAAAATGGAAGTCTCATTTTTCTTTTTCCTATCTTTTAGTAAGATTTATGCAGTAAAATTACCAGGAAAAGAAATTCATTGTAAGCATAATGAGAAACAAACCAAAAAGGATAATAGAATAAACCAAGCTAGAGAAGGGAGCTTGCAGTGGACAACAAAATACTAGTTTATCTTTATTTTTATATGCAAGTATAGATAGTCATGCCAAAACTGCCCAAATTCCATCTTTCTCATGAATATGATCAAAACCTACCCACAAACACAAGGAGTAATCACAAGATAAAACTGGGTTTTAGAAAAGTTCAAAGTTTTAATTGCTCTTGATAATGCATGCCAAAAACATACCAGTCCCAAAACTTTCTTCACCACATACTGAACATAATCCAGCATCCATTAAATTACCAAAGAACTTCCAACCTATGGGGACCTGTTTTTAAATAACAAATAAATTAAATAAGTAGATGTCTAAAAGCCACCGCAGAGTATTTTCATATCTAAGGCATGGAAGAGAAGTGTACCTCAAAAAATTTCAAAACTAAACCATCAGAACCATTAACCACCATTCGACATACTATTCGAAAAAATGCCACAACGAAAAACAAGGTTAGTGGGAATAGTACGTGCGCTTGAAGTAGGTGCAGACATCGTTGCGGGAGAGGTGGGAGAGGGAAGGCGTCGAGGTGAATAGAGGATGACCATTAGGCCCCACATCAAGTGAAGGGTTTTTGTCATCAGCGGCACGCCAGATACGTTCTTGTTCATCTTAGAGTGGGGCGACAGCGACATAGGAGGTGGGTGTTATGGGATCGGGTTTGAAGGGTGTTGTGGGCTTTGGAGTCCTAGAAGAGTGGTTGAGAGACGAGAAAGTAGCGTGCTTGTGATGCCATGAATGATGGGTCACTGCGGTTCTTGCTAAGGACCGTAACATTTCCTTTTCTCTTTTGTGTTTCTATAAGTGAACAACAGAAAAGTGCATAGATGTGAGGTTTTTGTTTTGAGTTTTGGGTTTTGAGAGACAAGACATGAGAACTGAGATTGGAAGATGGGTGACGGTGAGGGAGAAGACGCTATGGGTAGAGGTTGCAGGTTGCGGTGGTGTGGTGGTTGGACTCGGTTGAGGGGGAGAAACAAAGTGAGTGACGACATGGTGAAGGAAAGAGGTGCGTGGGTGAAGAGGAAATGAGAGGTATGGGAGACGGTGGAGAAATTAGGGTAAAACGTAATGGATTGTTTTTTTTTTTTTAATTATTTATTTTATTTTTTACTTATTATTTTGAAAAAGTAAATTTTTATAGTTTTTTTAAAAGAAAAATATTAAGAAGAAAAAGGAAATTTTTCGTTTTATCTTTTAAATATTTTTATTATTATTTTTTCATATTTTCTAATATTAGTTTTTTCATGAAATTAATTTTAATTAAAATAATTAAAGTTGTTAGATATTGTTTAGATATTATTTGATATTGTTAAGATATTATTAACTACAATATCAAACAATATCTTTTGTTTATTCAGATTACTCTTTTAGTTGTATCTTTCTACTATAAATAGACTACCTTATGTGTAATTTATACACAAGAGATTAATCTCAAACTCTATTTCTTCTATATTCAACAAAAGTGATATATATACATTTATTTATTTTTTATTTATTAATATTATCAAATTTTATATAATTATTATTATAAATTTAATTTTAAAATACTTTAAATATAAATTTGAAATATCAATTAAATAATGAAAATAATTTTAATTTTTTTATAAATATATTAAACTACATTTTTATTAACACACAAATAATATATATATATATATATATATATATATATATAAGAGACTAAATAAATACTTAATTTAATGATCTGATTTAGTGACCGAATCAGTGATCGATTCAAGAATCAGTGACCGATTCAGTGATCGAATTAGTAACCGTGATCGATTCAATAACTAAATCGAGTGACTAATTTAATAATCAATTTTTTTTATTCACATGCTAAAGTAAAAAATAAAATAAAATAAAATAATTATATTACTAAATTATTTAATATGTCTAATAAATTATTCAACTATTTTTTAAAATATTTATAATATTATTAAAAATGTTATAAATTATTTTAAGTTATCAAGTAGATTTATATTTAATATATTATTAAAATATTTTTAATAAGTATTATATAAATAAAAAATAGTCACCAATTTAGAGATTATTTATTTTGTGACTCGAAATTTTAGTCATTAAATTAGTCACTAAATATATATATATATATATATATATATATATATATATATATAAATAATCACTAATTCAAGTTACTTACAAGTGACTGAATTTTTCAATTACTAATTTCGGTTATTATTAAATTTTGGTTACTATTAAATTTCGGTTACTATTAACCATTTTTCTAGTAGTGATATATCTTTTTAATTACTCCTAACACGTTTTAAGTTTATATATTTGTAAATTGATGATTTTATCTAATTTAGTTTTGAATATTCTAAAAAGTATAATAATATAATTTATGTTTGATTTGATAACGTTAAAATTGTTCATGTGGTCTCATATTTTTTATTTATTTTAAAAATAAATAATTATAAATAAAAATTCAAATAATACAATGAACGCGACCCATGTGTAATATGCACGAATTACAATTTTTTTAAAATTACAAATAAAAATAGTTTGCAATGAAATTCCAACCTTTTTATTATTCAAATAATTATTATTTAATGCTATATATACGTTCAATATAAAATATATGTCTTGAAATGATTAATGTTTTATATATTGTTTTGAAATTCTCTCTTGGCATGAAAAACAATCATTTTTAGTGATATACATAGAGATAACATGCTCTTTCAACCTTAAATATCACTCAATATATTTTTTAGAAGTTTGAATCATTATCAAATTAATTTTTGAAGAGAATTGTCATGGATTCGAAGACAATACCTTAAAGTTGGAAGCTGATACTCCAACCACTAAACTACGAAAATACATTAAAGCTCACAGAGAAAATAATTTATTTGTAAGTTATTATTATAAAATGTTAGTAGTTTAGTGGTTGAAGTATTAGTTTTTAACTCTAAGATACTGAGTTCAAATTCTTACTGCTAGTAATAATTCTCTAACTTAAGCAAATTTTTGGTTGAAAAAAAAACACTTTCTACATCGGTTCATCCGAGAACCGACGTGAAAAATACTTTCTGTAGTAGTGAATGGTAAATGACAACGTGAAAAATATATTCTGAAGTAGTGAATTGTAAATGAAATTCTTCATAATTCTTTTCCTTTATTTATAGGTTTGTTTGGACACACATCTCACTTTATAAGTATACAATATTTTCTCAAAAAAAAAAAACACTTTTTACATCGGTTCATCTGGGAACCGACGTGAAAAATACTTTATGTAGTAGTGAATGGTAAATGACAACGTGGAAAATATATTCTGTAGTAGTGAATGGTCTTCACAATTCTTTTCCTTTATTTATAGGTTTGTTTGGACACACATCTCACTTTATAAGTATATAATATTTTCTCAGCTTCTCTAGGTTAAATTTGTGAAGGGATAAAGATAATAGATTGTGTTTTTCTTTTTGAAAAGCAGACTTTTGGTTACAAAGACTTTAAGAAGGAACTTGAGAGGACGTTATAAAGGTCCATACATGGCCACAAACACCATTGGTAGGTGCTAGAGGTGTGACCCCAACTAGGTCGACAACAGGTAGAAGCTTGCAGATTGTGTTCAGGGCTTTGGTAGAAACACTATTGGAGGAAAGGTGGTCCATTCTATGTGGTCACAGACCTTTCAAATGACAACATGGTGGACCTAAAGCCAGGAACTCTTCGCCATGCAGTTACACGTAATGGCTGATTGTGGATCATCTTTGCTCGTAGCATGTTCATCACGCTCAAGCAGGAGCTCATCATGATCGGTGACAAGACCATTGATGGAAGAGGCATTGAGGTATACATTGTCGGTGGTGGTGCTGACATCACCATCCAATTTATCAAGAATGTCATCATCCATGGAATTAAGATCTACAACATTCAGGTTCATGGGGTGTTAGTATTTTAGGAAGGATAGGAAAGATGGTTTGATGTTTAGTAGTGAGATTTGTGTATAAAATAGTTTTTAGAAAGAGGTGGGCAAATATGAGAAGATTTGTATGAGAGAAGATAGTAATTGATCTTGGAAGTGTTACAAGATATGTAAGAGTTTATATTAGTTTTTCCACACCCATTACATAAGTGACATTGGCTATTTATAGGCTTGATCCACCACCTCCTAAACATTTTAGATAATTCTAGATTTTCTTAACTTTAGAGTTATCTATCTTCTACTTTCAAACATTTCTAGAATCTTCTAAGAATTCTAGATATTACTCATATGAAGTTCTTAATTCTAGTAGCATCTAGGATTTTATTTTCTAGATCTTTCTAGAATTTACATCATCTTTCAACACTCTTCCTTGATGCAAATTCCTGTAACTCCAAGCATGAAACATAATTGTTCAAATTTGGCCTTGGTAGTGCCTTGGTGAATATGTCTGCAATTTGATTTTCTGTAGTGCAGTACTCAAGTTGAATTTGTTTAGTCACTTCAACCTCTCTGATGATAAGTTTTGTTCTTTGATGATGAAATGGATTCTTTGTCATTGCTATCATTGACTTGTTATTGTAGTAAATTGTAGTAGATCCATGTTGTTGTTTTCCCATCTCTTCAAGTATTCTTCGGAGTCATATAACTTGACTTGTAGCTTTAATTGCTGTCGTGTACTCTGCCTCTATTATTGATTGTGCTATTGTTGCTTGCTTCTTAAATGCTCAAGAGAAAAATCCCGATCAAGTGAGAAGGCATAACCTGATGTACTCTTCATGTCATTTATAGATCATGTCCAATCACTATCAGTATAGCCAATTAACTTTGAGTCGTTCATAGTTTTGTATCATATACCAAAGTCCTTTGTGCCTTGTAGATATCTTAAAATCCTTTTTGCTGCTCCAAAGTGAATTTGACTTGGTCTTTACATGAACCTTGATAGAAGGCTTGTAGCATACATGATATCTGCTCGAGTAGCTGTAAGATATAGTAAGTTTCCAATCAAACTTATGTAGCGTGATGCATCAGCTTCTGGTGCTCCATCATCTTTTTGTAACTTCTCATTTGTCACGAGTGGAGTAGCCACAAATTTGCAACCATACATCTTGAATTTCTTTAATAAAGGCTCGATGTATTTCTTTTGAGAGATAAATATACCTTCCTTTTGTTGTCTTACCTCTATGCCGAGAAAATAATTCATCAAGCGAAGGTTGCTCATTTCAAGTGTTTTAATCATGTCTTCTTTGAATTCCCTTATCATCTCTTTATTGTTTCCTGTGTAGATAAGATCATTTACATATAGAGAGATAATGAGAATTTCATACTGACCTTGAGTCTTGATATATAGTGTTGGATCACCTTTGCTCCTCCTGAATCCTTGATTAGCGAAGTACTGATCAATTTTGTTGTACCATGCTCGAGGAGCTTGCTTCAAGTCATATAGTGTTTTTCTTAGGCTTAACACTTTGGCTTCATTTCCTTTGCTTATAAAGCCTTGTGATTGCTCCACGTATATCTTTTCTTCTAGTACACCATTTAGAAAGTCTAATTTAACATCCAATTGGTGAATGCTCCATCCTTTTTGTGCTGCAAGAGCTATTAAAGCTCTAATTGTATCTATGAGCAATTGGGACAAATGTCTCGTTATAGTCAATTCCAGGTTGTTGTGAATAGCCCTTTGCTACTAGTCAAACCTTGTTCTTTTGTATGGTGCCGTCAGGATTGAGCTTTGTTTTATAAATCCATTCTACTCCAATTACGTCCTTTTCATGTGGGCAATCTATAAGTTCCTAAGTATTATTCTTTTCGATCATTTTAATTTATTCCTCCATTACCTTGATCCAGACTCCTTGCTTTACAACCTCTTCATAGCATTCAGGCTCAAGCATTGCCATGTTGCATTGATTGGAGCCGTATCCGGTCAAATAATGTGATTAAATGTAGTACTAGGCAACTCTTCCTAGGTCGTCTCCCAAGGGCCATAAATTTCTGTCAAAAGCTTATCGGTTTCTAAATGGAACAGAAACAAGGGGGATTTTTTGGGTATTTATCAAATTTAATGAAATAGAACAATAACAGATTGTATAAATGCAGATTAAAACAGATTAGGCCCTTAAATAGAATGCATCTCTGATGTTCATCGGCTCATAATATAAAATCTATCCAGCTTAATCTCTCCTCTCCTTTACACAAATTAAGCAAACGTGTAAATGATCAGTTCTCCCCACAAGATTAAGCAACTCATGGTATTGGATACAATAAACCCTAATTCATTAAGCATGACTTACGTTTAATGATCCAGTGCAGAAAATCAACAACAAGGGACTAAACTGGACTGTGAATGCAGAGAGCCTCTCAGCAGAGATTGCAATCCTTCAAGGGCCCAACCCTCCGGGTTTAGTTATCCATTAACACGAAATTACAACAATAATGGAAAATGGAAATAGTGGAATAGAAGGACATAAAAAATGAAAATGCAATGCAGAAAATGAAATGCAGAAAATGAAATGCAGAAAATGTGATTGCAAAAAACAAATTGCAGTAGAAAACGAATTGCAGCAGAAATTCAAATATGAAACTGAAACTGAACTTGAACTACAGAAACGGAAATGGAGTAGAAGTGGAAAATTGTAAGATGGTAATGGCAGCAGAAAACAAAAAAGGAATTGGATTAATCTCTAATGGGCCTGGAACAATCAAAACGAAAGTGCAGGAGACAACCACCTAAAACAGCACGTGAAAAACCCTACAATTGCTGCTACCCCCATTCTCCCCTCTGCATGGAAACTTAAACCTAGAATCCCCTCCCCTCACCAGACCAGCTGGGCCCAAAAAGAATCTGACCCAATATAAACACAAAATCAAAGAAAATGAAAAAGACAATAATGACGTGGTAGGTGATGTGGCAATGACATGGCAATGACGTGGCAGTGCCTCATAAAGTCCAAAAATTAAATTCTAAACCCAATGAAACCTGCAATTAATTAATTAATAGAATTAGCAGTCCAATGAAGCCTATTAATTGTAAACGCACTAATAATAGACAATTAAGCACAATGAAACAATTAAGATAGGTACAAAAAGATAAGAAAATGCGGGAAAATAATAGCTCATCAAATTCCCCCACACTTAGCCTTTTACACTCCTGGGCAAAATCACGAAATGAAGCAGAGCAAGGGAAACAAATCCAAAGACATCAAAGTGGTTCATGCAAAAAGGAAGAAAACAAAATAAAAAGAAAACATAACCCTAAACACAAACAGATTTACATGCTCCTGAACAGAACCTGGGGAATGAAAGGAATAGATACATCCAATCACTCAAAGAGTAAGAGAAATCAGATACTCATGGAAATCATCCAAGCATTTCAAAACATGGCAAGAGGTCAATCAGTTAAAGAGGTTAATCAAAGCGACAAAACCTCACAAGATGCACTATATCTCTCATGTGTCTAGGCTACTGTATACTCTCAAAACAATCAAGAAAAGCAAACAACAGATAGACTTGGCAAGCCTCTAAACTCAACACCCAACGCACATGCACAAAAAGATCAAAAGGTCTTTTCAGGTTGTAATGGGGGTAGGGACAAGGTAAAGGATATCATATGGGATAAGTAGCTATGAACCAGAGGAACTAGAGGAGCAATGAGGAATAAGTAAAAAATAAGCACTAGATGCATGCCTAAAACCCTCTAATATCAAACCTCCACTATTGTCTTTGCCTCAACCACAACTTTATATATATATATATATATATATATATATATATATATATACCATTTATGGCACCAGTGCGCATATTAAAGCGGAAGATAAAAGAAGTATATAAAGAAGAAAAGAAGAAGATATTATTTATGAAAATTATGCTTACAATATTCAATATTCGAGGAGAAGAGAAGGGAAGGCTGGGAACTTAGGCTATGAAGGAGTTGGTCGAGGAAGGTAGAGTTTAAGGCTCTAAGAGAGTCGTAAATTCTACTTCAAGCAACTCGACTCTTTTATAGGCCTTAAGAATGTCTTATTCGACTATACAACTGGCACACTATTAACAAGTGGCCGACCAAAGACATAATTACAAAAGATAATTACAATTGGCACGCTTTTACTTTCGGCGGCCGACGCTAAAAACAAAATTACATAATTACACTGACTTTTCTTTTTGCTTTGTGGGCCCCTTTTTTGGTTTGTAGGAATCCACTTTGTTTCTTTTCTGCTGGACTGAGGACTTTCGCATCTTTTGGGCGATGGGCCAGATAAGCCCAACTTCTTACTAAGATGCCTTTTCTTAGAAGGATATTTCATGGGGATATTTTTCTAATTTCTTCATGATATTCTGAATTCTTCTTTGCAGTTCTTTTTTGAAGGACTGAATTGGTTGCTAGAACTGATCAAAATCAACATTTTCTTCTTCTTCGTCTTCATAAGGATTTTGTGCATCTTGGATATTGATGATGGCTTCATTTTCTTCTTCTTCTTCGTCGGAGCCCAAAGAGGATAATGCTTCAAGCATTTTCTGTTTTAGTTGGGCCTTTTCAATTTTTGAGGAGGGGATTTGGGATAAATCTATTATGGATTTTCCTTTTTCTTTTTGTAAGGGTATTTCTTTTGGTATTGGGCCTTTGTGGCTAATTAGACCCATTTTCTTCCAATTTTCGAATTTTTCTTCAACATATTGGACTTCAAATTTCTTCCACCAAAAAACTTTGGTTTTTAGGCAAAGGGTTTTTGGGTATGTTTCATCCTTATGTTGATGGACTTCGGGAATGTGGGCCAAAAGCCAGCTTATTCCCATGGATGAGCAGAACTTTATAATTCGAAGATATGGAGGGTATTGAGGAGTAAGGTTTTTATATTTCTGATAGATCTTCATGACCTTTTCGGGGATTATTGCTTGAACGGGACCTATTTGATTGAACTAGTCAATAAACC